CCGGATCCGGCAGAGATGCCCGCGGGCGAGTGGCTAACAATGGGCAGAGGAGAGATTGTGGAGAGAGCTCTGGCCGGAGGTCTAGGTCTCCGGCGACGCGTTCGGAAGGTGGTGGCGCGAAGACGGGCCTGGTAAGAAATGGGTCCGCCAGGAAGGGCGGGAAGTCTCCGGGTCGGGTCAAGTCGGAAGTGGGTGATAAGATCCGGAAGGTGGAGGATGCTCATAATGGCAACTTTGGCTATAGTAACAGAGAGAGCAGAGAAAACAAGTGGCCACCGACGGGCAATGAGTCCCTGGAAAATCCGCTTGTGTCCTTGGAATGTTTTATTTTTCTGTAATAGACATATGGTTGGAGTTGTAATTTGGGGGATTCCCTGGAGGTTGCTTTTGGTATGTGATGGGACAAAAGTGATGCCGCTGGAAATTGGAGATTGATCTATGCCCTTTGATTTTGTAAATGAAAAAGTCAAAAGGTAAGAGTTTGGAGGGAAAAGGTTTGTCAGACTCTGGAATTTCTAAAATCACCCCTCTGATATCTGTGAATTGTTTGTACTATTGGCTTCATTGACAAGCAAAGGTCATATAGATTTCTTGTACCACCAATGAACAGGAGGATCCAGTGCCTGCCCTTTTTTTTTGTGTATTGTTCTTTTGCCACCAAAAACCTTGGATTGCAATTGCTACGATTCCGCGAACATGTTTTTTAATTATATTTTTATTTTACATATACTAAATCGATACAGTAATTTTTTTTATAAAAATATCAAAAAAATACAATTCAATCAAAACCTTAACTGGCCATTCTCTAATGTTTCGTAGTTGTCATTAATTGAAAATGTTTCTCTGATGACTGTGATTAAGCACTAGCTAAGTCACTAATCTCACCGTGATTATGAGCATACAACTTCTCCAAAGAACTTGTATGACATAATAAGGCCAATTCCTTTTAAGGTCTTGTTCAAATTGTTATATGTTTTTAGGAAAAAATTTTCCGTCTTCCGCAAATATTTTTTTAATAATCTTTTTATCTCACGTATATTACATTTTGTCTTCGAAACCTTAAACTTTGTCCCTAGCACCCAGAATTAAAAAAAAACCAACAGATGTTATCACTGGATGGATGGTGGGTACATTGTGCATTGCATTCAATATTCATACCTCTGATAACGAAATTTAGTAATAAAGGCTCACAGCTCATTTGGTGCTGGTCAATATTGGAATGGGGTGGAGGCATGTGCCAAAGATATAGTACTATTAAATAATCAAGAGGACTGACTGGAAGGAAGGTTGGGATCCGAGAATGGTGAGAGATCTTGGTCTTGCCCCTTCTATTATATGAGGTGAGGTCGACGAGACCTTATTTATGGATGACCAAATTTTCTGTTTTCTAATGGCTTTGTTGTTGAGGATGAATTGGTTCTGTTTTTGGATGCAATAATTTCCAAACAGAGGACGAGGTCAAAATGCGATTGTAGCTCATTGGACCCCATTTGGATTTTGCCAACCCGATTGAAAATGAATTCACAAGATCAACCATAAATGCTGCTACGTACTACTTACCATACTACATCACCATAAAATAAAGGGATTTTTTTTAGAAAAATGGTTTTTTTTTTTTTTTTTAAAAAAAAAGAGCTTTCAAAGCATCCATTCTGACCACATTTTGTCTTCATCTCAAAAACATAACGTCGAACAGAACAAAATTCGGTACGCTAATATTTTTCTGAAAATTCTCGTAGAAAATGCAATCTAAACAGAGTAGAGAAATCGGGAGAGGTAGGATTGGATTTTGGGTTAATGTTTGAGAATTTTTTTTTTCCCGTAGTTCTTGGGAAGCAAAATAGGATCACTGTCCTCCCTGTGATATGAAACAAAAAATTTATTATGAATCTGATGGTGATTTTTTTTCTTTTTCTTCTTAGGGTTTGATGGTAGAAATTTTGATATTGACTAATGACTATGGTTTAGATAGAAATTTTGAAACTGGATAGATCGCAATAGGCAGTCGACAAGTGAACTGCTCTTTTGGACTGGTCTTTGGGGTCTTTTTCTTGGCCTACATGGTCTCAACAAGATGAATGAAATTTGATGGGCCGAACGGAATTTTATGTCGATTAGATCATCAATTTCAAGCATATAATTTTCCCGGTACAGAAAGTGGACATTTTGCCTTTTTGTTGGTTGTTAGTACTTTGTTTTATTGTGTTTATTCTCGATTATTTGTGGTTCTTCTTTCAATCCGTTCTCTTAATTATGGGAGAAAGAGAGAGAAAAAGAAAGAAAGAGAGAGGGGCTCAAGAGCTGAATCAAAATTTCATGGTCATTTAACTAATATCCCTATCAGTTAAGTTGTTGGATCGTAGAACCTTCTATTTCTTGTTTGACGTGAAACAATAATAATTTGATCCGAGAAGAAAGGAAACAAACAAGACATGTGCATCTCCTCTTTGCCAATTGAGCTTTACAAATTTGCCCGCTATGAAACACTTTTAAAGTTTTATGCAATAAGTTGTAAACAAATACTTCCTTCGTCTCAAATTATTGGTCGCATTTCGAGATTTCAATTTTTTAAAAATAATTACTTGACGGTGATATTAATAGGTTTGTTTCCAAAGTTGTCCTGAAAAATTCAAAATATAAATTTGAATTTAGTATAAAATATAAATAAAGATGGGAATAATATTAGAAAAAAAGATAAAAAATAACTGTGATTTAAGTAAAATGACAAATATTTTACAACATCGCAAAAATGGAAAATATAAAACTTTCAACCTTAAGGTGAGGGACTAGCTAATTCTATCGACCTTTCAAATTTTGGAAAGGACCTAGGTACTTTTTATGGCCGTATGCCCTTATAGATGGCACTACAGGAGAGTGGCAATAAGCTCCTATAATATAAGCAAATATATACTTCGTTTATCACCCAACTGTGGGGAATTCTTGTCATCGTCTCAACATTGCCAATCATCATCGTTCATCTCTACCTAATTAGTGGGTTCTTTGTATTCCGCGGGACAAGCACACCAAAATAAGTAGGCATTATTAGGGTGCAAACGAGGCAGATCGAATCGAATCTCAATTTAATTTTATGAAGTTTGAGCTCGACGGACTCAAAATATAAAGATCGAACTCAAACTCGAGCTTAACAAAAAAAAAATAATTATTTTATTTTTTAAAAAATGAATAAAATAATAATTTTTCTTAACAAATAATAAAATATTAAGAATGTATCTATGTAATTTTATTATTAAAATAAAAAATAAAAGATATATATATAATCGAGTCGATTCGCAAGTTAACGAGTTGAATATCTTTGATCTCGAGTTCAACTTGATCAGTTTGACCTCGATATTGACCGAGCTTGAGTCGGGTTCGGATTCGAGTTGCTCGCGAGCGGCTTGATTCGTTTGCAATCCTAGGCATTATATAGAATTTTGACGTTATTATCCTTTCTTGAATTACTACACTTTAACATAAAAAAATTTAAAGTCCTACAGATCAGTACCATTTGTTATCGTGCGCGTTCTACAGACAAAATAACTCCAAACCTCACTATATTCTGTTTGCTAAACGTATAGAACGGAAGACTCCATAATTAGTGATATAGAACTTGATTTTAAGGAATCTCTTTTTAAAAAAAATTGTTTGCTTTATGTTTCAGCACACAGGGTTTATTAGACAGGAAAATAGAATAACTTTCTAAGAGTTCTGCTTTTTTCGTGGAAAGAAAACTCAAGAGCAACTGGTGCACAGTGGAGCTATATGCGTCTATTCGGTTTATTAAATAAAGTAGCCCAAAAAACTAGTACTTTGGATTGTGTTTGTTTTGGAATATTTTTACTGTAGCACTTTTTGTGATGTGATGTGTGTGAGATAAAAAGGTGTATTGAAAATTGTAATGATGATGTAAGCAGATAAAATTGGAGAAATAAAACACAATCCAAACAAACCCATTGCAGTAGAAAACTAGGCTACGAGATATAGAAGCCCGTAAAAACATGGGCTGCCAATCAGAACTATTCATTTCCACATATCTGGACTCCTTCTCAGAACTACCCTCTTGTCTTGACAAGATGAACAGCAAGAAATGGGAGTTGCAATATGACGTCCTGTCCCATTATTCAGCATGTTTGCAAACATTGATGAAGGCCTTTTATTTTGTTATTATTGTTGATCACAAGAGAGATTGCAATTCAATATCAAATGCTCAAATAGGCCGATTATTGGAATCTGAATAATATTTAAGGAACAAGATCAATCAGAATCACGTAGACCATTTATCACGAGTAACCATCCTTATTACCCAAAAAAAAAAAAAAAAAAAAAACCATCCTTTCTTCAAACTACGTTACACATTGAGCAGCTAGCAGGGCATTTGAGAAAAGGGGGATACACATTTGAGAGAGGAGGATGGAGATAGCTGGACTAGATTCAAAGCATGGTCTAAACTAGGGAAAGGAGCCGAGGGGGTGGTGTACAATACTCGCGCCAAATCAGATTCCAAAGAAGTAAATATTCTCATCATAAGCTGCAACCTTAAATAGCTAAATAACAGCAGTCTTGTACACTTTTTTGATGACTTTCAGCCAGCCAGTTTCTATAGCAAGTAGAAGAACAATCCCCAAAGTCCATGCTTGAGAAAATTGATGACATCCCAAGAAAGAAGAACACTCTCCAAGTGAACTCAAGGTGAAGAAAATAACCTTCCTTATTGCAATGGGTAGTAGCGATGGTTCTCGCTAGCTGGAGGCTTTGAATGGACTCTGAAGATGATGCAGCATATCGACAACAAATGGAATTATATGTATGCTTCCCCCCCCCCCCCCCTTCACATTCTTATAAGGAAATTTCAGATGCTCGTGCCTAAATGATATATACAACATTTGAAGAGCCTGTAGGGAAAAAGGCACGATTTATATTCACCAACAGTTTTTACTCGTGCACGTGACTGCTGCACCAGTTGCTTGCAAAGTGATAGTAAAGATGGAATCTTTGAAGCCTTTTTTTTTTTTTTGGTTGGAAGTTTGTTGCTGTCACATTGAGCCTGAGGATGTACTTGCATTTGGGTCCATGGCGCTCTTTGGAAAGGAATGATGTTGATGAGAAGGCCATCGAATTCGCTCAGGAGGACAAGGCGCAGGAGCAGGGTGCGCTATAAAGGTAGGCATGTCTTCTCCAGGCATTAGAACAGACACCTCTCTGGCACTTATAGGCATCTGAAATATTTCAACAAAAAGACAGTCACAAGAACTTCCAAGAGTGTATTTCACAAAGGGCATCAATGATTTTATGAGAAATTCTACAATGTGATATACCATAATTCGTAGAAACAAGAGTGTGACCCATGAGATACCGCAAATGCGGTATACACATGGTAGATGATCCCATAATTTTATACCAAATAGGAGTTACTGAACAATCTGTTGTAAATTGCACACGCATGGCACATAGAAACATGCTTTTATCAAAGAAGCAGCATATTTTGTTCATTGAAAGAGGACTGAAAAGGTAGCTAGCTCTCTATCGGTACTTGACCGATGGAAGTTTTTACAAAATGACGAAGGAAAGTGGAAAGTGTGGAGTGCAGGTAAAGTTTGGTCACTGCAGGATGGTGACCATCACGACCTGATTAACTTAGTATCATAGTTGGAACCTCGGCTACTCCTATTTGCTTCTACTAAGCAATCTTGAAAAAGGGCAACTGGATGCTGAGCAAATTCGTGCTCTTGTAAAAAATGCAACCATGGAGAGAAAAGCATAAGCATCCAATTATGACCCAAGTAACATAGATTGTCACGCAAACCTGAGGAAACAGAAGCTTGAATGCTCATGTTTGTTTTGGGATCAATAAAATCCAGGCGAAATGTTACCTCTGTTACCGTTGAAGCCTGAGGGTATTGGAAGCAGGTAAATGTGGGGAAAGAATTTCACCAGAAACTGGTAAAAACTGTACTAGACAACAATGCTTGAATTTGCAAGCACATCATTGTCCATACAATTTAGCAAAGAAAATCACTAAACAGTATAAACCACACAGTTTGCTCGGTATTAAATGCCATGCTGAGAAGCCAGCACAATCTAGGTATGTGACTCTTTATTACTAAAATGTTTGCAGGATAGAACAAGAATTTGGTTAAAGAACCAAGCACATGAAAACTTAACAAACAAACAGATCAGAGAAGAATAGAAATTCAAAAGCTTATGGCCAGATATGCCTTTTTTTAAATGATAATAACATAGCTGGAATGAATTTCAAGATTAATGGTGACGGACCAAGTGGAATTTAAGTACAGGTGGTGGGCCAAAAATGGACCAGAATGATGGAGCTTCATGCAGCATAAAGTCCCAAATCTCATTAATGGGTAGCAATCGACCAGCTAACAACTTCACTGATGGGCCATTGACCAAAAAAAAAAATCAAATCAGAGGGAGTGTTTTCTGGGGCATACAAACTTAAGGAACATGCACATGCAGACCTGTCAAGGATCTCAAATGGTAAAATTGTCCAGAGCAGTCAATGCAGCCTTTCACTTTATGCCTTTGAAGTTTTTCCTCCTTCTGCCAATTCTTTAGCTGAAATGCGCAGAGGCTAAGACAATATGAAGCCGGATTAATTTTTTTCTGAAACAAGGGCCAAAGGACTCCAAACTTATTTTTTGCATAAGCTCTGAGAATCCTTGCAGGTTCTAGGAATGTATTGCATCCAAGAGGAAGTAATTAGTTTTCCAACAATGCGGAAATGTACTTTGGAAATTCACCTTCCATACGTTCTGATATGATAGAAGACGCCGTATTGATCCCATAAACTTACAAACTCCCCGTCCACCCAACATAGAGGGCGGAAGGTTATTTCCACAAAATTGATAGTGGCATTCCAAATTAAACAATAATCATCATAGCGATTGAGGTGTATTTAGATGAAGAAGCAACCTAAACCAGAAAAAGGAAGAGGAGAAGAAGAAAGGAACTAGACAATGACGAAAAGAGAAGTCTAAAAATTGACAGCTAAACAAGTATTGTAAATTACCCTAGGAAAAAGAGCTCTCATAGAAAAGTTTCAAATAACTTCAAGATAACCTGAATTAAAAGAAACCTAAATGATGGTGGAAACAGGTCTCAACACAGACCTGAAAACACAAATACAAGGAAGAAAGGAATCTTTTTTAATGGGCACAAACAAGAAGAGCAGAAAAAGAATGAAAGAAGCGAAAAATGGCTAAGAAACCAATTAGCTGAAGAGAAGTGCCAAACCCCCAAAATTAACAGAGATGGCCATAATCTACGGAAATACTTGTTGTCAGACCACGAATAAGCATTAACTGACAAAATCCAAACTTTCATCCATACTTGAGACTGCCAGGCAATCCCACACAACCAACTCCAATCAAATCCGAAGAAGTCACAAAGTTATGGTCATTCTTTGACTGCTAGTATAAAACTTATCGTATCCAGACAAGACAAAAACAATAAATAACACAAGCAGCTAAAAAGCACTTACTTTGGGTGATGGATGACAAAGTTTTCCTGCAAACCCAATATGGGATTCGATGTCATGAGGATGTCTGCGCCCAGCAGACGGTGTCAAAGCTGATGATGTTGGTCTGAGGAACCTCTCAAAGATCGCCATTACTAGAAACATTGAGATGAGAATTGCAGTGGCCACAAACCCAAAAGACACAGCATTGACTGAGTTATCAAAGTGCCTCCAGTGATCATCTTTTTGTATGTAAAGTGGTGCACCATTTGGTGACCATCCCATTCCCTCTTCTGCTCCTCCTCCTCCCATCTTTTTTCTACACCTTTAAGAACTCCAAATTTCAGAACTAGGAAAAAAGGGTAACAATCACAAACATAATGTGGTGATCAAAAGACTGAGAGAACATATGCAAGAAGACAGTTATGGCAGTTCAAAAAGATGGGGAACTAAATGAGAAGCTTGACCAGAAAATGCTTTTTGAAGCAAGAACAGTGGTTAAAATGCTGAGGAGACTGAGGACTGAGGAAAGGGTGCAAATTTGTTGCTTCAGTCTTGAGACAGAGATGTTGAAGAAGAGAGAGCTTTGGGATTTGGACAGAGAAAAGTTAGATAAGGAGTAAGGAAGGCTTGTGCTATACTGCTGCGGTTTGTGCGTTTTATCGTTCTTCCATTCAGTCATTTAACTGTGCTGTGAAAAAGAAGTTGAATACTTTGGAAATATGAAAGCATCTAAGTGAATTTCTTTGGCGTGCATCCTTATTCAGGATTTCTTGAAATTTCACTCACAGGTGCAAATATATTCCTTTGAATCGGTAACAGTTCAGTCTCTTCTAAATTTTCTATTAACTTCATTGACCGCCTTTTTTTCAGTATACAGTAAGAATAAGATTAGACGTAAAATAGAATTTATGATATGTCAAAAAAAAAAAAGAATGAATAACTGTTGCGTTTGTGCTGACATATGAGTCGTCGTTTCTTTTACAGAGGCAGGCAAGCCTAAAGAACTTAAGCCTGAACTTCTGGACTAATTTGATGTACTACTATTAACTACTCTAGTTTGGCAATATTTCAGCCACTTTGTCCTCCCAAATACAAAAACCCCACCTAATAAGAACCCCTTCCCTTAATTGAAGGCATAGGTGTCATAAATAAAACTCCACTAGTTTGACCTCTAGTTACGTAGTGCCTTATTGGCCTAATTGGATTCTTAGGACTTTCCAAGAAGAAGTTACCTGCGGGCTCCTTCCTTATTTTTTCGACACGCATGCCCAGGTTCCGGAACTCCCCATTCCCCTTTCTAGTTTTCCACATTATTTCTGCTCAGGGCTGCTTTTGTACCAAAATAAGGCACAAGGTGGTGGTACCGGCTAACCGGGCGTCCAATGGCTAATCTAAAATGAATAAAATTACCATAATTGATGAATTTCAGTATCTAAGAGGTGATGTCTTTAATTTTAGAAAACTTCTGGTACGGAAATAATTTTATAAATAACAAAAAAAAAGATCATTTCAAATAAACCAACAAAAAGTGGGGTGAAATTTTGACTATTTGTACTTCTCGTGACTTTTTACAACACTAGTCAAAACTAAATTAATGCTTTTAGTGTGAAACCATTTGTTATAAACTAAAATGGTTCGAGCTTCACATACAAGAATATTTTCAATTGAAACGACAATTTCTTTCTTGGATTTTGCATTTGTTTTGGTTTTACTACAATTTCTCAAAACATTGAACATTTTAAATATGAGTTACAATTTTTATAGTTCCAAATTGATTTCCTAAGTGTAATTGTCTTAAGGTTAGGCATGTCATTTAGTATACAAATCCTTTAGAAATAGATTTCTGCAAATATTTCGCAGTATCATTCCCGACTAACACAATAATCCCTTCAAATTTTATGACATTAGGAGATTGCTCGAAAGAATTATATTACATCCAAAACACATATAAATTATTTGCAATATTTACTACATAGAAAAAACTCATAGATATGATGGAAATATACTGGGTTTGTTTGAGTTGGTCAATTTTAAACTCCCCCTTCCCTCCAACCAAAAAAAAATCTATAATCGTACAAACTTTTTTTATTTTTTTTATTTTACATACATATTGATCTTACACTAGGGGGAGCCCAAAAGCTGCTAACCTGGTTACGTAACGCATAACTTGCAAGAGTAAGAGTTTGTCGTCTTCACTCCACACTTACAAACTCTCGGAAAAATGGCTCTGTTTGGTTTTTCCATTTTTAAAAAAACAAGTTTTTTGTATATAATACTATAATAATGCACAAGCAAAAACAATTCAAAAAATACATATCTTTATAATATATCAAAAACAATTTCAAGTACACAAAAAAATTTAAAAATAAAATATATATTATTTTCTTCTTTCATCTATCACCACCACCATCACCCCCACCCACTATCTTACTCATTTTTCTCTTTCCTCCTCATTCCTCTCCCTCCCTCTTCCTTCTCCCTCTCTTTCCTCCTCCCCTTCCCCGCCATAGCCCACCTCCTCCTTCTAGCCTCCACTAGATTGGAGAGGGGAAGGAAAGGTAGGGGCAGGGTGTAACGAGAACGGGCAGAGAAAGGAAAGGAAGGAAGAGGGACGGGGAGAAGAGTGGAGGAGGGAAAGAGGGGATGGTGACGGTAGTGGGTAATAGTGGTGGATGGAATGTTAATTTTTAAAAATTATTCCAAAAATTTTTAAACTTTAAAAATACCCTAAAATATATCCAAAAACATCACTAAAAACATCTACAGTAAAAAATTTTCATATACATTGTTACAGTAAAATATTTCAAAAACACCCTAAAAAACAGCTAATAGCATTTGTAAAAATGACTTGCTAGGTTTACCATTCGTTGCACAAAGTATGAGAAGAATTCTGGTTTGTGGCAACCAAGTAGGGATGTCCTGTACTTGTAGGTCAGCAAACAGTCAATCTAATAATTGCAGAACTAATCTTACACGAATAGACACAGTCTAATGGCTCCAAAGGAAATGATGCAATATTGGGCTTGTTTGGAACCTGAGTTTTTTGGGAGTTTGTCTAAAACTTTACTGTAGTGCGCTGTAGAAGTTTTTGAAAAAATTTTGTAGAGGTTTTTGTAAGGCGAAATTTTTTTCCATTTCTTTTTTTCTTTCCTTTTCTCTTTCTCTTTCTTTTTCTTTTTCTTTTCTTTCTTCTTCTTCTTCTTCTTCCTTCCCCCTTCCCCTTCCCCTTCCCCGTTACCTCCGCCATCCCTCTCCTCCCTCTCCCCCGCCACCCCCTCAGCCCCGCCACCCCTGCAAAAGCTCCCCCTCCCTCTCCCTCTGCCCGCCACCCCTCTGCCCGCAACCCCCTTCCCCCACCCTTGCGCTGTGGTGGAGGGAGCTGAGAGGAACGACGGCAAGGTGGGAGTTGCGAAGAGGAGAGAGAACGCGTGAGGGCTTTGGGTCGCGGCCAAGGAGGAACGGCGGCACACGGTGGAGCTAGGGGGCGTGGCTCGAGCGAGAAGCGGCGGTTGGGCCGGAGTCGCGCGAGGTGGTGGTGGTTTCGTCGGCGTTGCGAGGGAGAGAAAAGGGTTGTGGTGTCGTTGGAGTCGCGCGGCCATGGGCAGCGGTGTCCGGCCGCGGAGACCGAGAAACGCGCGAGAAGAGAGAGACGTGCGGCGAGGTGGCGGCGTGCGCTGGTGATGAGGGGAGGAAATGACAATAGACAAAAGGGGAAGATGGCGGGGAAAGGCAGAGAGAAAGAGGGGAGGGGGGAGGGGGGAGGGGGAAAGAAAAAAAAAGAAAAAAGAGATTTTGGATACCAACATATCGGTCAAAAGAAGAGGGGAGGGAGAGAAAAAAAAAAAGAGGAAGGCCTGCAAAAATTGGCTGGAATAGTTACCGGTTTCGGAAGCGGTGGTGGAGGTGGTGGCCGGTTGGGTGGGGGAGGAAAAAGAAGAATAAAAGTTGAAGTGAAAGTTTTTTGTGTATTATTTTGAAGTGTGTAGGTAAAAAACTTTGATAAGTTTTTTGGGGTTCCTGTAGCAAAAGTTGTTATAAAACTAGTAGCTAAAAAACTAGGCCAAAAACTTCACTTCCAAACAAGCCCATTATTTTCAACATGGACATAAAAGATAGACTAATAAACTTTTCTTGCACCCAATTACTGAAGCATGTTTCGGGCAAACATAGAGCAAAGATTGGGAATTGACCCACTCAACCCCAACAATTTCATTTTCAGCTCCCAAAGTGCAGCAGAGAAAATGAGAGGACGCCTTACCCAGAAGAAAAAAAACCAAAAAGGAAAAAGAGAGAAAAAAATAAAATAATTAATTAAGCAAGACGCCAAGGCCCAATCAATAATCAAACTCCAGAGTACCACTTTTCCATCCGATGAATAGGTCCACTACTTATACCAACGGTCCCTGCCAGCTCCATTAGTATACCTTTTTCTAATAACAAAAGTTAATCTTGAGGGGCCCAGCCCAATAACTCCCCTTTTTGTCTATTGTCTCCTACTTAGTCAGGTCGAATTACAATAACATCCCCAGACCCAAGTACTCTGCACTTTTGTTGATGTTGATGAGGGGGGGCATTATTGGAGTAAAAGCGAAACATATGGGCCTAAATCCATCTGCCAATGTCCAATACTAAATTTCAGCAATATCTGAGGAACTTGGGGAGAGGAAGTACCACATTAGTCAGTAGTAGAGCATCTACAACAAAAGTGTTGGTAAAGTATTTAAGCTGCTGCGCCTGCCTCCATAATAAAACATCAAACATGCAGCGCAAATTGTGGTCCCTTGGATTGCAGGACTCTTACAACTAAGCCGCTCGCCAAAAGCAAATTTTGGTGCCCACCTACTTGGACAAGATGACTTGGCGTCCGACATGGCAGGTTGAGGGCTTTTATTGCAGGTATGGTATTTGTCTATATTGACCAAGTAATAATGGTTTGGAGCTGATTGATCTAATCCTTGAAGGATGCATATTATTATTACTCGGCTGTTTGTTTGTTTAAACAAATAAATTGTAATTCGATTTGTAATTTAGGGCTCGTTTGAGATTGCATTACGTTTACGAAGGAAAAAAAATGCTTTTGAGCAGTAAAAGTGTTTACAGGATATTTAATAATTAATTTTTCGTAACTTAAGTATCTTAATTTTTGATAATTTAAAGGTACTTATATCAGAAGTGTTTTTTTACAAGCCATCAAGATCTCAAATGAAACCTTAGTACGATACAATTTCCACTTTATAGGCACTCTAATTTCCACTTTCAAATTTAAACTAATAGCATTCATCATGGTAAAGCAATTGCCTTTTGGATAAACTTATGGGGTTACCTTAGATTCTGGGTGCGTGTGTTTCTTTGCGCTGTTGAAAGCATTCATCATGGTGAGAGCGGCTGCATCCATCTCTTTCACATTTCTGTATCCATTTAACTGCTTCCCCACTAAATTGAGAAAAAAAAAATAAGAGAATGGCTAAACTGATGCATACAGGTTCTAACTTGTACTCTTTTGTGCATTTATGATTTATATTACTAACATGGACACAATATTCTCAAAAAAAAAAAAAGAAAGAAAATGAAAAAACTAACGGATTCATTTGGATGTCATTATTTTTAAAAAATTAATTTTAGTGTTTTCAAACAAATTTTCTGTCGCTTTTTAACTTATAATCGTCGCATTATAAAACGTTAACAATAAATAATATAATAAAAAATTTTCAATTATAATCCTCATATGAGCGCTAGTACTTTTCTTGAGCCTTAATAAATTGTTCATCAATTATCATCATCCCTCGTTCGTCCTCATAGAAAAGGCTTATCCCTTTTGGATTTGGTCCCCAAGAAACGCTCTTTAATACACGTGTCAACCAAGACATCCAAATCATCATTCTCCACGTGGCATTGAGGTCCCACCCGATGATAGTAGTAGCAGTATTAGTCCTTGTACAAGGGGTAAATTAGGAAAGTCAAGAATAAAAGCGTAAAGCTTCATTATTATTTTTCATGTCCTACTCGATACATCAGCTCTAAAAAATGTCGGCCCTTTCAGGTTTTCGCCAACAAATGGGACATTTATTTCTCGAGATTGTCCCCCCAATCGAGCGGTCCAGATCCTCTGGAAAGATCAAACGGGCTTGGACCGTTGGATCGTTTAGTCCCGTAGTCAACGAGCTAGATGAGTCAAAAGAAACTCGGGAAGCCCGCGTGCGTATGAGCAGCAATTGCACGTGAGGGCTGCGTGTGGGTGGCGTGGGGACTGTGGTTTCTCTGAGACTCTGACTTCTGCTGGGTGGGTAGGGGCT